AAGAATATTTCTTTTATTTTATGTTATTGTTAAGTACCGTAGAGTCAGTTCCAACTCCTAGTGACCCTGGATAGGGTTTCCAAGAAACAGCTAGCAGGTTTGAACTGCCAAACTTGTCCACTGCTAATTCTACAGTGCCACACCAGGAGTCTCTTTTACTACACACACTTCACTAAATTATACAAGCAACATACTCTAAATGCTTACTAAATAAATAAGAGCAATAATCAAAGCTATGGTGTCAATTCAGACTCGGGGTGACCCAGTCGGGCACACAAGAACTGTTTCTTGGGGTTTCCAAGGCTCTTAAGAGTCCTGGTGTGGCGCTGTGGGTTAATGCACACTGGACTGCAAAGTCATTTGAACTGCAAGGTCGGAAGTTCAAGCTCATCAGCCGCTCCTTGGAAACCCTATACAGGGCTACTATTATGAGCTACAACAACAACAAAAGTTCACCAAAGCAGACAGCCTTTTCTTTCTCCTGTGGAGCAATGGTGGGTTTGACCACTACACCACAGGGCTCTGAGAGCAATAACAGAAACACTTAACTTCAATACACACTGCAATGACAAACTCTTCACTCACCAAGTTTTGTTTTCGGAATAAATTCCCTCCAACCCAGTTCCCAGTAGCAAAAGGTCCTTTGAGATTCATCATTTCAGCGTTTGGGCTTCCAAAGAAGGCATACGCCAAACCTCAATATACTGCCAACTGTCTGAGCAATTTACATGGCCTTCAAACTTTCCTGTGATTGCAGCCTTGGAAAAGCCCTGTAGGGCAGATCTTTTCTGTCTTTTAGGGGCACTGTGCAGCGGGATCCACTAACTGGCAACAGGCTTTCTTGTTACACCAGCAGTCCCCAACAATCTACCACAAGAGGGCACTTATGCTGAAATAGTTTAACTGTAATTTTAATAAAGGTGTAAAATCTTTCTGACTTAATAAAATCATTAATACAGGACACTTAGTTGTCACTAACATATATTTAAAGTTTCATATTTGACCTCACAGAGACAACACTCAGAATGTCATAGAATAAAACAAAATGTTGCTGTTAAGAACTGTGGAGTTGGTTCTGTCTCATAGAGATCCTGCATAGGATTTCCAAGACTGTAAATCTCTGCGGGAGCAGATAGCCTCATCCTTCTCCCGTGGAGCAGATGGTGGGCTCAAACTGCTGACTTTGCAGTCTGCAGTCCAGTGTTTATCCTACAAAGCCACTATTCTCCCATAAAGAAATGTGGTACATATATTTATCTGAACTTACCATATTTTGTGTACTTTTGCAGTAAGAAAGGTACTTTGACATTCTATAATCAAGCTTACAAAGCAACCAAATTTACATTTTTTCAAATTGCCAAGGATGCAATTTAAAGAATTTTACTGCTCAACTCAAGAAAACAGGATGGTAAAATAACAGGATGTCTACAATCATGTATCATAAATTTATCCACATTTAAAACTTTATATACTGGTTCTTGTATCCACTTCTAGAGTGCAGTGACAGATTGAATCCACACATCTAATTATGTTCCGCCATTAAACTCTCTAAAATTATAAGAAACTTTTTGTAACAGAAACTCAGAGAGAGGAAAATTAAGAGAAACAACAAAAATTGGAATATAGAAAGAAGACAGACAAGGGCTAATTAATTGTCTTTGCAGACTCAAAAAAGCCCAATCCCAATCCAAAAGGGGTAAACCTAGAACCAATCTAATTTACATTCCTCATCAAATTAGGAGGGGAGTACTTAGCGTACATAACTGTTTGAAAGCTGTTTACGAAGCAGACCCTTAGACTCTTTCCCTTCTTAAAGTCACTAGAAGTAAAGGTTTAGTCTCTTGATGCTGTTCATTGCAGTGGAATACTTCCCAACTCATAGTGAGGAGCGGCTGATGACCTTGAACTGCCGACCTTGTGGTTCAAATCAACTTTGCAGTCCAGCATATTAACCTGCAGCACCACACCAGGACTCCGGTTTACTCTCTAGAGAATGTAAAACTGAGGTTCTCTGGATGCAGAAATCCCAGGATCAGTTGTGAAGAGAGGCAGGTAACAAAACAGACCGCCTGCAAAGCACAATCTACACAGTAAACACAGCCCTCTCTGTCACTCAGCCATCAGAATCCCACCAGTCAAACCCTCAATATTAGGTTAATAGACAGCTGAGGAGAGAAAAGAGAAATCAAAGCAAACATTAACTCCAAAACCCAATGACTGAGTCCATTTCAACTCATAGCGAGCGACGCTACATATGGTTTCTGAGACTGTAAATCTTTATGGGAGCAGACAGCAGTTTCAACTGCTTACCAACATCTAAATGCAACACCACAAGGGCTCCTTAAGCAAACACTACTGTTGTTGTTAAGTGCCTCTGAGTCAGTTCTGGCTCATAGCAACCCTGTTTAGAGTTTCTGAGGAGTGGCTAGTGGAAGCTATTTAAAAGAAACAGCCACTAAGCACACAAAAGAAAGAAAGAAAAAAAAACTATTATTATGTTCAAAAAGGTAGGAGAAAATATTACACCCATGAAACAAAAGCAGAATTTTGCTATTTAAAAAAAAAAAAAAGATTTTGAGAATAAAATACCTCTTAGAAAATAAAAATATGACAGCAGAAAAGAAATTCAATAGAAGAGTTGGAAGATAAGGAAATCGTTTAGGAAAATTTAACAACACACATAGAAAGGAAAAATAAGATAGCAAAATTGGAGAGAAGAGATAAGAAAACTGAACATACGGAGTCCAGCATTCAATAAAATAGCAGTCCAAGAAGAGAAAGTTCTTAATATAAATTCTCAAAACTGAGGGATACAACTGGCAAATTAAAAGGGAGTTCTGGTGTTGCTCTGTAGGATAAGTGCAGGACCACAAGGTCAGTTTGAACCACAAGGTTATACCGGTTCAAAATCACCAGTCACTCATTGGAAATCCTATCATGGATTTCTATGAGTTTGAACCAACTCGACAACACTTAACAATTATCCAATGGATGAAAACAAACCCATACAAGGATATAAACTAAAAATCCAGCTGTAAAAATACAGAATAGCAGAGGCAAAGAGAAAATTCTATAAGCTTCCAAAGAAGTTCAAATCTGACACATACAAATAACGAACAACTTCAGATTTCTCAATACTGCAAGAGGGCAACGGTACAAAACTCTGAAGGAAAATTATCTTCAATCTAGAACTATATTCAACCAAAACTATTAATCAATTAAGCACTGAGTCAGTTCTGACTCCTAATGACCCTGTATGGGGTTTTAAAGGAACCTCCAACTTTGAGGTTAGCAGTAGTCCAGTGTTTATCCTACAATGCCACACCAGGACTCCAATCAAGTAATAAAAAAGAATAAAAGAAAAGTTTCAGATATCCTCAAAAGACATTCCAAAAGAAAACAAGCCCAATCCCACTGCAGCAGTTAAGTAGATCATGGTGATCTTCTGAGACTGTAAATCTTAACGGAAACAGACTGTCTCATCTTTCTCCCTTGATGAGGCTTTGGTGGATTCACCACTGACCTCTGAGTCAGCAGTACAATACTTAACCTACTGTGCCACCAGGGCTCCTTAAAAGACATTACTCACTGTCTTCCAGTCAATTCCCATAGCAACATATAAGGACAGAGAAGAACTTCTCCTTTGGGTGTCTGAGGCTGTAAATCTTTCTGGGAGTCTTCAAGGTAGAGTCCACCACAAAGGCCTCTGGTTCCAGCTCCTCCCCTACCCAGAAAGAAGGGTCATCCCTTCAAGTGGTCTTCTCTATTACCTTCCGATCCTGTGCGTCAGCAGCAGCCTGCCTTCTTACCTGCTGGACCTGCCTATCTGCTGGACCTGCCTGCCATCTGACTTACCAATCTTGGTTCATCTAACCCTGACTTGTGGTTCTCCCACCTCTACAACTTTGTGAGGCATTTCCTTGATATAAACTTTTCTTTATATACACATTTAAAAACATCAGTGCCCCCACACTTTCTCATGAAGCTACTGAAACAAGAGACAAAAGATTTGGGAGACAGGAAAAGACTATGTGACAAATTCAACACGGGAGAAACACAGAAGAAATTCTCAGGATATCCATGAGGACCACAGAGAAAGACAGCTTTGCATTTGATGCAAAGGACACACTTGAGCCATCTAAAGGGCAGATGTTTTAAGCATCTTCATTGCCAAGACCTCTGCTTGTCCAGATCATCTTTATAAAGTAAGTTGAGCCTGGCTAAGATAGTTGGCTTGACCTGACTGTGTACTAATGAAATTCCTGCTTTTCCCCCTTTTCATGCCTCAATCTGATACTCATTTCATCCCACCGATTTTGTGATTTGACCTAATTCTGAGAACTGAAATGGAAAATACAAAGTAGGCCCACTGATCATATTTCCACAGGATGTCTAATACCTAGACCACACGACAATTCAGCCCGATGCCCTGACTCAGGCAAGCCCTGAGGAGTCTCCACGCTTCTCTTCTGCTGGGAGACGGCACCAACAATGGGAGAATTGGCTTCTCCTCACACAGCTGGGCTTGTGATTTTTTCTCTCTCTTTTTTTTTAAAAGTATATGTGTTGTCAAAGCAAGCACCAAGGTTTGTTCTTGCTGTCCCGTTTTACACAGAGATATAGTAAAGCTAAAAAGAGAAGCAAGGGAAGTTCTAATGTCAAAGTTAGGGCCCGGACTACACTGGCAGTATGCAACTGTAACTGGGTAAGGCACACAGTGGGCTTCCAACTAATCATATTCTATTTCCTTCCCCAGTGGAAATTCAATGTAATGAGATGCAATTTGCTGATTTTCACATACTCTGCCTTCTTTACAATTTTAGACACTGTTTTGCTGCACAGTCCTTCAAGATGGAAATGATACAATTGTACACCTTACTATTAAATTACAAAGATTTACACCATATCAGCAGCAGAAATTCTCCTTCACTGATCATGAACCAACAGAGTTTAAGTTTTAGTTGGCACACATACAGAAAATTAAGACCGGAACTACTTACATTATGAGTCTTCGGTTTAAAAACCAGTATTTCCTCCGACTTCGGTCATATCCAATAGGCTCATGCCGAATATATGGTTTATTTTTTTGGATTTCAGCAACACAGTCAGTCACCCCAGGCACCTTGTGTGCTACACAGACTTCACACTGCCATTCATCCTCTGGTACCTCCTCAAGAGGTGGTTTCACACATTCCAAATGGTACACTGCTGAGCAAGTCTCACAGCAAAGCAAGTCCCCAAGTTTGTGACAAACCCTACAATGGTCGTCATACTGGATCACCCCTTCGGACATCAATTCCTCACGAGCAATATTTGTTGTAAGAAACTGGTCGACTAAGAACTGCAGGACTTTGATTTTGTTGTCTACTGGTCCATAAGGGTAGTCCTCTGCTTCTTGGTAAGGCAGAACATGATGGTACTCCTTATCACTTTCGCAGTACACCCGCAGCACCTCTGGCCACGTCATCCCATCTATGAAATACAGTGTGGAATTAACGCTGTCTTTCAGATCAGCAGGGCCAAAGGTAGTATTGGAAGTGTCTTCTTCACGCAACACTGCTTTCAGAAGTACAACGTGCATCTCTGCCATGAGTGTGCACTGCTCTTGACTTACCAGAGCTGCACAGAAGTCCTCAAAGCGAAAAGGAGACAATCTTAAAACAGTGCCAAAGTTCCGCAGTACCTCATAAATGGCAATGACATTCATTATATGCTCATTAGGCACCATTAAATCCTCAGAGGACTTGGGGAATTCAAGGGGAGGGATATCTTTTTCTTCCAATATTGGAGAACGAGGCCGATGTACTCTTGGTTTTCGTCTACCTGTAAGTAAAGAAATGATATCATTACAAATTAGGAATATACTATACTAGTTACCACAAACTAAGGATTCGCCACTGTTTTCCACATGGACATACACTTCAAAAAAAACCACACCACCACCCAACAGTGCATTTGTGAAAGATTTATAAAGAGCATGAATTGGGGGGCAGGGGGAATCTATATATGTAAGAAAACATGAGTTCAGTTTCCGTCATTGTAATAAAAAGAGTACTAGTCAAAACAGTATCTGACACTGCAGATTTTCTATAAAGAGAAATAAATAATTTTAAGATTATCAGTGAGACCCGTTAATGTTAACAATACTAACAATCTGTTCTAGTGCATCTGTAAGGCAGTAACAGAAATAATGTCTAATTTAATGTCCAGCATAAGAGTATCCGCTTTCATGCATCCTGAACGATTTCAAGTAACTATTTTATTATTCTGATTTTTAAGAGCTCATTTGGCTTTATATTAACATAAAGGTCTTGATTTTAGAGGTGAAAAGAAAAACCACAAAGGTCCCAAAGTTCTACATTCTTTATTTTGTCTAGCTGGAAACTATAGGACTATATGGGGGCATTTCTGGAAGTGAGTACTAACCACAGGTCACTCACTGCACTTTGATACATTTTTGGAAAAGCTATGGGTCGGAATCGACTCGACGACACTTAACAGTAACAAAACTAAGTTTACTAAGTAAACTAAGTTTAAGTTCAAGTTTTAGAAGGTAATTTGGCAAAAATCTTATCAAATGCATACCCCTCATCATAGCAGTTAGATTTCCTGGAATTATCTGACAGATATACTCACACATGAATTTAAATATGAGTTAAGTAAGGAGCTCTGGTAGCATAGTGGTTACGAATCGGGCTGCAAACCTTAAGGTCAGCGGTTCGAAACTACCAGCCGCTCCGCGGGAGAAAGATGAGGCTTT